TCTTCACCCACTCCTGTTGGTCTAACAAAAGAAACTGGTGCAACGGTTGTTTGGGGAGAGGAATTTATTGAAATAGAAGAGAGTGTGAGCAAAACAGGGGGAAGTGGGTCTGGTGAAGCTGTTGAGGGGTTGGTTCAACTTGGGAAAAATATAGATGAACCTGTTCCATGTGAAAAGGAAACCCTCGCATACCTACTGATAGGGTTATCAATGGCATCAAAACTCATGCCATTCCCTATGGTTTCATTCTCAACACTGTGCTTGCACATTTCAACGTGCCTATGAAGAAGTGGGATGTTAGTACAAGCAAGTATCATTTTGGGGTTAATACTCTGCTTGCTTACGATTATGAAGTCAATGTCATTCCTAATGAACCTGGTTCATCTAAAAAGACACATATCAATAGCAAAGTCAGAGTCTTGGTACAGGAGAGTGAGGCAAAGGATGTTGAGATAACAAGGCAGAAGACACGATTGGTTGAGGAAGAATCTAAGAGAGATTTTCTCAGAACTGAACTTGCAAGGGAAAAGGAGAAGAATGATGGAATTCTTCAAGACATGCTAAAACCTCTCCAAGCAAATAACCCAGCCCCTACCTCTTCCAAGCCTTAAATCCTAGCCTAGTATAGATCAACCAGTGACCCAATTCGATACATTTTGTCTCTTTTGCTCATGTTTTCAGTATTTTTATTTCTTCTTATGCTTTGTGGTAGAATCTTATCAATCATCAATGAAATTCACTATTTTTTCTCTAACTGTTTGTTTATATTTCTTTGATGGTTTAAATTCTTAGCTTGCTCTATGATGATTAATACATGATTGCTTTTGCAGTTGCCTCAGTGACCATGAGTAAGTTTTAAAATCTGGTTAACTTACATTATTATGCAACTTTTCGATGATGCCAAAAGGGGGAAAATAAATAGGTTGTGATTTATAAAAGTGATGTATAGCTTTGAACAAGTGATTTTTATAACCTAATGAACCTGGTCCATGATGATAAGTGATAACAATACATTGTGTTGATGTTGAGCCGAGTTTAAACAGGGCCTAAGCGTATGAAAAGCACAAAGTTTTTCAACATCAAAAAGGGGGAATTTGTTGACCCAAGTAAAGGTTTGTTTTGAAGACTGACAAAGGAACTCAGGCATGAACTAGGTCCATCCCTTGTGTGTATAGAAATGGGCATATTCGAGCATGTGGAATGCACGTGAAGGGAATAAGATTAAATTGGTGTATTTAGTATCTCCTAATTGAAAATGTTGCATAATTGATAAGGAGAAGGACTCCTTAATCAAAGAGAACACTATCCAAGATAGGGAAGGAGTTAGAAGTTAAAATCAACCAGAACTCTTCCACCAAGGAAGAGTTGCATCAGAACTCTAGTTATTTTTTCATCTACTAACTCTATAAATTGCAGGATGTTCTCACATTATATGTGTTGCACAAAAACGCAGAAGTTAAACGTGAATTGAGAGCAAAATAGCAAGGCTTTTTGCAAGCAGTTCGTGTGCAAACTTGAAGCAACATGAACCAGATTGAAGAACCAGCTCCATAAAGAGTTTTATGTGTCTTTCTTTATTCTAGTTCAATTGTAGTAGGTGTTTTCATTGTACCTTTCAGCTTTATCTAGAAGCAATAGTAATAGGTACTTTGAGTATTCAAGTTAGAGTTAACTTGAAGTTGTTGCAACAGTTAGAGGCTGGTTGTTACAACGGGATTAGAGGTAATCCTTAGGTTTACAAAGAGTTTTGTAAATGTTGTTTTGGCTCAGTGATTTAGTGAAGTGTTGGGGAAAATCCTACTCAGTAGTAGGTCGTGGTTTTTTCACCATTTGAGCCAGGTGTTTTCCATGTAAAAATACTTGTGTTCTTTACTCTCTACATTTATTATTCCGCAACAGTAGTAGAAGGAACACATAGAAGAACCAGGTCCTTCCATAATCAGGTTAAGCAAAAAATTGGTCACCACACAAATCACCCCCCCCCCCTCTTGTGTGGTATTGAAGTGTATAACATCAGTTTGTTTGTTACTTTTCCTTTAAGATTCTGCTGTTTTCCCTACTATTGTTAACCGTTTTTTGTTTTTTCCCTAAAAGCTAGGGTTTCAGTTTTTTTTAAAGAAGTTTCTGCAAAATATTTAAGTGTTTAACTCTTGTTTTCTTCCTTTACTTTTCGACTGATTTTCATCCCTATGTCTTTATGCCCTAGGGTTTCTAATTTTTCTACTGCTTGCTATAATGTTTGCCCGTTTACTTTGGCTGTCAATTAAACTGATTAATCGATTTATTTGCCTAACTAGGGTTTGAAATCACATTTTCTTTCAAAATTGGTATCTCTCTCTGAGATTTTTATTTATTCTTTCCTTATATGTGACTCGTAATTGGTACTGCTTTCCTTAATTATATCACTGGCCTGATTTCTGGGCCTTGATTGTTATGACCGACCTATGAGTGATTTTTGGACTTATTACTTACCTTGTTAAACCTCAATATTGTCTATTAATTGATTTCGTGTAAGATTCTCCTTAATCTAAGTAATAATTTCGTGATTCTATCCTATTAAGTCACTACCAGAAAATGTACCTATGGGAACAGTTATTTTGGCAACGGTTCACAAACTGTTGCCATAGATCAGATATAGTAACGGTTGAAACCGTTACAATAGAATTTGGGTGCTATCAGCACACTATTGACATCAAACCGTTGCAAATATAATAAAATCGTTGCCATAGAGTTTTGTTTCGCAACGGATTTGTGAACCGTCCCAATAGACATGCATATGACAACGGTTGTGTGAAAAAAATTGCTATGGGAACGGTTATTTATTTCCCCTCGTTTTATCCGCTGAAAATTTACTGGCCCACGCAAGCTAATTAATTAAGTGACCTGTATTTTATAATTTTAATTAATTTAATACAAAAAACCCTCCGCCCATCGATACACCCAGAACTACTCCCCTCGTCGATACCAAACTCCCATCGTCGAACACCCAAAAATCCCCTCTCTGATCTCTTTTATTTTTGCATCTTTGCCGAGTTTAAGATTAATGGCTGAGTTTCATCAAATACCTCTTCATTAGACCTCCATAATCATCAAACCCTAGAGTTCCCAAAGCCCAAAACCGTGAGGACAGTCGGGGACTTCTCCGACACTTCTTCAAGGATTTTCGTTGATTTTTCGGCACTTCTCCAGCACTTTTTCAGGGACAGTTTCTTCACCGGCACTCCTTCCCAAATCCCCAAATTTTAAAATCAGATTTGTGCTCGAATCAGAGAAGCCCAAAATCACCATAACCTGGTAATTTTGTTAATTCTTTTGGTCATTTTTACTGTTTTGTTACCAATTCTATACGTTTTTACTGTGTTTTTTAGTCTGCTGGAATATGTGATCCCGTATTTGCTTCTGCGGTGACTACTAAACCAGCACCTTTTGAAAGCTATAGCTCCTGATTATAAGTGCCTTTTCTCAGTCAGCTGTGAAAGACTATTTCTCTCTGTATGTAGCCACTCTTTCAATTTCTTTTTCACAAGGTATATATATGTATACACAGAATATATATACATAGAGAAGTAGAAGAAAGAGGGAGAAATGGGTTGGTTTCCATGTTATGGATCATCGAAGCAGAACTCAAAGAAGAGGAAAAAGAAGAAAGACTCGACCAATTCGGTCCAACTTGGTTCTGGTAATTAATAAATCTGCATATTTATCATATAAGCAGACTAATTTGATGATTCTTTGAGATGGGTTTGTTGTATTATTGTCAAATTTCTAGGTTTTTATGCAATTTAAAGCTTCAAGTTTTCAACTTTTAATGAATCTGTAAAATGGGTTTGTTATATTTTGGTCAAATTTCTAGTCTTTATGTTATGTGGAGCTTTAGGTTTTCAACTTTTAATGATTCTTTGAGATGGATTTGTTTTATTTTTGTCAAATTTCTAGTCTTTATGTTATTTGGAGCTTGAGCCGAGGGGCTTTCGGAAACAACCTCTCTATCCCCCGCGCAGGGGTAAGGTGGCACTACCTTCCTAGACTCCACTTGTAGTATTTCACAGGGTCTGTTGTTGTTATGTTATTTGGAGCTTCAAGTTTTTAACTTTTTAATGATTCTGTGAAATGGGTTTGTTGTAATTTTTGGTTTTTGGGTCAAATAGTATGTTGGAATTGCATAAAGATTCCATTTTTGGCCTACCCCTTGGTGGGTTTGTGTGGTGTTACCGGTTGTGTATTGTATTTGTTTCTATGTGTGATCACCATGGGAATGGCATTTTTGGGTCAAATGGCCTATATTGGAATTGCATAAAGATTTTATTTTTGACTACACTGTGATGGATTGGGTTGGTAATCAGCATGTCATAATTATTATCTATGGTCATAATTGATTAATTATGATCTCTTGTGTTGCTTTTCCATCCCAACTGTGTTGCCGTTCATGTGCCTTGTTTTTGTTTTTGTTTGATCCACTTCTCATGTGTCGAGGGGAGAGGTCTCCCACCCTAGCTATATTTTTGAAGGAGGCATCCAGTAGTTCCTCTTCCTCCCCTTCTTCATAGAAATCTCGACCCATGTCATTCCAAACGTGTCACTTTGATTGTATCCGGACATCACTAATGCACCATGATCCTTCCTCGGATTATCAAGAGCTCTTAATGTATCCATTTCATGTGTAACAAGAGCATGGAGAATATTGGTAGGTGTCAAGTTGAATTTTGTAGTCAATGAAATTGAACTTCCATCAGTTCTTTCATTTGCTACTGTATTGCGCATTTCTGAAATTTCAGCCTCATTCACCTCTGCTTTTTACTGCTGCCCAGCTGGAATTAAAGACATGTTGATGTCTTTAGGACCATGTTGAAGTGTTGAATCATTTGCTGCTTTCTGTTCTGTCCAGTTAGCTAGATCTGGATTGAGTAGGTGTAGCGTTGATGAGGTGTCCAGTGGTTGACTCGTTTATTTGCAAAAAATGTCCAAAACCAATACAGAGAATCGAAATAGGTTGAAGTGTCCGCACAGATGCTGATGAGAGGATGCAGTAGAGAATAGCGGAAATGGAAGTAACAATCAAGGTCAGTACATACCACATGTTATACATGTTCTTCAATTTCTTCTACTTCTCCTCCTTCCTTGGTTGAGATTTTGCTTTGGTTCAAGGCAGAGTGGATATGGTAATATCCTTTTTTTTCTTCTTCTGTTTTTGTTTTAATGCTTGTAATTTCTGAAATCACAATTTTACTTCTTTTCTACATTTTGGATTATCTAATTAAAGCATAAAATTGTTAGCGTGCAAGAGAAGCAGAACTGACCTTTCTATAGGAGTGCATCAATGAGCTTACTGTAGTGCTCAATTCAGGCCATATTAACATCTCCAAATATTCCCTCTGAATTTAAAAAAAAAGATTCTCATCTCGTAATGACAATTAGGAGTTTATTTGTTTAATATGAAGGAAAGAGAGCAGTGACAGTTATAACTTACTAGGTAGAATTCTTGCCCATGAGATAGAGAAACGTAAGCTATTCACACCCATATTTTCCATGAGTTTGACGTCCTCCTGTTTACATTTTAATAGTATCAAACAAATCAGAACTATTCCATTTCATGATTTCACAATATCAAAGAGCAAGATCAGTTATCGAAATACAAGTTTCTTTTAATGTAATTTTTAATATTTCAAGCTTGGTTACTGTATGAAAATTCCGGTAAATATAACCATCACTTACATAGAAGGTTGAACTGCTTGTGGAACAAAAAGTGTTTATGCTGTCTCCCTCTCAGCTGCAAGGCGTTGAGCTTTCTGAAACTCCTTTAATACAGCTTGAAATCTTTAGCATGTTTAGCGTCTGTAATTTTCTTTAGGAGATGAATAAATGTTTTGCACATATATATCAAAGTGCAGACCCACCAAGACAAGCACAGAGAAATAAGGAGAGCACTTCTTGAAACTTACACTGACTTCAACTCGATGATCTGTTTCGCTGACTTGTTTAAGTTTTGCAGATGTATCTTTCACTAATATTTGCCCAATATGCAACCTTGTTTTACGCCTGCAGTTGAGAAAATCAGCACATGTACCAGAAAATTTTTATTTTTTTAAATTCGAATGAACCACCTTTCATGTCATCAAGACACTATTTCCTCCTGATTTGTTGACAGAGATGTTTAATGTATACACACAAGTTATCTAAAATTCACCATGCCTCCAAGCTGAATCAAGATCCGGAATCAAGAGTTCCGGTTTCTTAAAACAGTTTCATGTTTGTGTCCAGAGTATAAGTCTATTCAAAGTTTCTGAACATTTTGATACATTTCTTATTATCATAGATTTAATTTACCCCGAAAACTTTCACTGGTATAGTAAACGAAAATATATGCTCGGAAACCAACCAGTATTAACCATATACCCGAGTATAAGTTGGGAGGTATTCTTTCAGCAGAATTGAGTCTCCACAGCTAAAAGATAGACAATTTGTGGAACTCACTATGCACGGCCTAATGGAAGTAGTCTCCCTTCTTTTTCCTTTGTGATTCTCCGTTGCTTTCGCTAATGATAGAATTTTGAAGCACTATGATCCTGCAGTGGAAGCACTTGAGAAATTGATGTGCCAAGGATTTTGTTTTGCTCGTCCTTCTCGGGACAAGAATGTCGACTCATGCTTAGCAGGCCATTTGAAGCTACAAATAGTTGATGTTTCGTGCTGGTTTAGTAATTATGTTTGTGATTCTTCTTATGCATTATTCTTTACTTTGCCATCATAGCTTGATAGCTTGAAAGTCTTGGTCCTTGGTAATAATATCAGATTATTATAATGTTGCGTATAGTTTGTTGAGATGAATAACTTGGATTAATAAAAGAACGAAAACAGTTAAATGCTTGAGTATTCTTAGACCGGATTCTGTTGGAGGGTAATAACTTTATTTATCCTCTTTTGTAGGTGGAGTAGATCAAGAAATGGATGATGAAGACGATGAAGAACTAGACCTTACTTGAAATGACTTTTTTATTGTTATAGATGAACGTTCTAGGAATCTTTTTTTACCAACATTTTTGAAACTTATTTACTCTTTTGAAATGTACTAAACTTATGCACTCATGGCTTTATGGATAATTTTGTATTATTAATAGTTTCATTTTATGATGTATTCAAATTTTAGTGTTATTATAATTTATTATATGTATAAATATTTATTTATAATAGGTGCTATATTTTAATTTTAACTGAACTAATACAATAGCCTACCAGAACCGTTGCAATAGGACACAAATGGCGTTCCAGTAGACAGCGTAAACCGTTGCTATAGGTCCCATAAACTGTTCCAAATACAAATATAACCGTTACGATAGCCTAAAGAAACTGTGGCTATATCCAACATAACCGTAGCAATAGCTTACATAAGTGTTGTTTTAAATAATATGGTAACGGTTAAAAACCGTTGTATAAACAGTACAGTAACGGTTTTGAACCGTTCCAATTGAAAAAAATAACCGTTCCAATAGAGAAAGGGAAAACCGTTGCGATAGACGTATCTATTGTCACAACGATGCAAACCGTTGCAAGAACCATTCCAGTAGACCTATGGGTACGCCGGCTGATGTGACGATCTTTAAACCGTTACCGTAAACCAATTTTTCAGTAGTGAGAGTTGCGAGAACACACAATAATACCTTATAACTGCATAGCAATAGTGGTTAGAATGGACCGAAATGACAATAGAAAAAAGTAATAATTTTGGTAATGACGCGATACAAAATTCATGTGTCGTCTTTTACATGGAAAGTTTAGGCTTTAAATTAGATGTTGAATTAAAACATACACAAATCACTTTCTTCCAAAAATTTGTACAGTGTTTCCTCACTCTTAAGTTAATTTATCTGACATAAAGGTTCTCCTGTAGAGAGCTATTTGATGTCATAAAAATAGCTTAAATCATTAACCTTAATTGATAAAAAGGTAAAACAAAAAAAAAACCACAAAGGCTGCTACATTGTGGTAATGCATTATAGAAATTGATGGGGAAAAAGATCATACATTAGCATTCTTTTTTCTGCCTTCAAACATTGAGAGAATTAATTGTCAAAATATTAATTTAATTCTTTGTAATGACCCGATCGGTCGTTTTGAGATTTTGTAGTTTTCTCGCCAGTTCTCGGGCATGACTTGCCCCGTGTGATGTATTATGACTTATGTAAATCGTCGGTTTTGGTTTTCAGGGTAATCAGAGTGAATTTAGAAGAACGGTTCTAAGTTTGAAGCTTGAAATTTGAAAGGTTTGACCAAGATTTGACTTGTTTGTATACGATCTCGGATCAGAACTTTTATGATTTGGTTAGCTCTGTTAGGTGATTTGGAACTTCGAAGCGTGATCGGAATGCATTTTGGAAGTCCGTGGAAGGTTTAGGCTTGAATTGGCGAAATTGAGATTTTGGAGTTTTCCGGTTGATAGGTGAGATTTTGATATAGGAGTTGGAAAGGAATTCTGGAAGTTGCCGTAGCTCCGTTGTGTCATTTGTGATGTGTGTGTGCACAATATCAGATCATTCAGACGTGGTTTGATTGGGTTTTTAATCAAAAGCATAATTCGGAAGAATTTGGAAACTTAGGCTTGAATCCGATGTGTTTTGGTTGATTCGACGTGGTTTAAAGTGTTTTGAAGATTGGTATAAGTTTGAATAAGGTTATGGAATATGTTTGTGCTTTTTGTTGAGGTCCCGGGGGCCTCGGAGTGATTTCGGATGATTGACGGAGAAGTTTGGAATTTTGGAGAGCTGCAGATTTTCTGCATCTGTTGTTTCCGCACCTGCGGATTGGGGACCGCAGGTGCGATGCCACAGATGCGAGGTAGAAGGCCGCAGAAGCGGAAGAAAGTGAGGTAATCTGTGACCGCAGAAGAGGTTGGGTAACCGCACCTGCGGTGGCGCAGGTACGGAGATAGCATCGTAGATGCGGAAAGTTGGGAATAAGTGAAAAACCGCAGAAGCGGATCTTGGACCGCAAAAGCGGTACCGCAGATGCGGTGGATTGACCGCAGATGCGAAAATGGTTGGGTCAGAAAGTATAAGAAGGTTCCCTTTGCTATTTTGAGTGGGTTTCCACCATATTTCATTCGGGAGAAAGCTTTGGAGAGCTAATTCAAGAGGGAATTCAAGAGGGTTTCATGGAGGTAAGATTTTTGGACCCTAAACTTGTTTCTATGATGAATTTTAAAATTTGTAAGCTTGAAATCCATGGAAAATCTGTAGCAAAAGTGGGTAATTAGGGCTAGGGACTAAGAGACCTTTAAGTGGAGATTTGAGGGGCCATCTGAGGTTCGATTGTGATGTTCTTAATATGTATAGACTCATGAGAGGACGAGGATTCTATTGATGTGATTTTTATTGGATTTTGAGACGTGGGCCCGGGGGGGCAGGTTTGAGCAATTTTGGGATTTAGATGTAAATTGGATATTTTCGAGTGGGCTTTGTTCCCTTAGAATATTTTAATGTTTATGTAGTGATTGTGGCTAGATTTGGAGCATTCGGAGGCCGATTCGTACGTGCAAAGGCAATGCGGGCTAGAGTTTTGACCGGATCGAGGTGAGTAATGATTGTAAATATTTTCTTGAGGGTATGAAGCCCCGTATTACACATCGTTGTGCTATATTAAAGTGACGCACACGCTAGATGTCGAGCGTGAGGTCGTGCACTGTTGGGATTGTGACTTAGTCCATCCCGAATGATTGTTTTACCGCGTATTTGACTGAAAACTATTTGTTATCATCATGTTTTGGGTTGAATGCCATATTTAGGCCTCGTGCCAACTATTTGAACCCTTATGGGATTTTTACTGATATTTCCTCACTGTTTGACTTTAAACTTGTACTCAGTTATGCTATATTCTACTGTTTCTATAACTCAGCCATGTTTACTCTATTTTAACACACTAAATGATATTTCAAATAATATTTTGGGTTGAGCATCATGTTTTACTGTTGCCTGGGTGGCTATGTAAATTTTGACGAAGTAAGGCCAAGGGCCTGTGTTGTGAGGATACTTTTGGGTCGGGTTGCACGCTGCAGTGGTGATACACTAATTATGATTATGAGGCCGAGGGCCTGAGATATGTACGCCACGAGGTGGATTGTTGATATGAGGCCGGGGGCCTAGTGATGATGCCACGAGATGGCTTGATATTGCACTTGGGCCGTAAGGAGCCCCTCCAGGAGTCTGCACACTCCCAGTGAGCGCGAGTACCCATTGTGATGTGAGACATAGCCCGAGGGGCTAGAGTTGTTCCATGTTGTTTCCCGAGGGTCTTTTTCTGTTGGTATTGTGCCCGAGAGGCGGATTTTATGTGCTTATCTGTTCTAGTTTCTTTGTATTTAATTGCTTAACTATTAAAAAGTCATTTTTAGAGAAGTTTAAACTGAGCTAAGATGCTTTAAGAGATTTTACAGCTTCATTGCTTTTTCTACTGATTTTGTACTGCTTCTATACAACATGTTGATATGCATTTTTTTTGTGATTTCTTATCGCTCAATCAATATTTATGATTATTATTGTCACACCTCCTTTTTTACACACCACTTGCCGAGAGCGGCGTATAAGGGAGTTTTTCCACTTTATGTGATATTATTCGAAATGAGATTATTTATTAATCAGAGTCTCCACTTGGAATAAGTTACGGTGTCCCAAGTCACCGGTTTATTTTAATTCCCAAATCGAGGAAGTTTTAATTTTAAAGAGTCTGCGAACCAGAAATTCTAGATAAGGAATTCTGTTAACCTGGGAGAAGGTGTTAGGCATTCCCGAGTTCCGTGGTTCTAGCACGGTCGCTTAGTGACTATTACTCGGCCTAATTGTTCAACTACTCATTTTTAGGAACTATGCGCAATTATCGTTTACCATTTTTAATTACTTGAATCATTTGTAATTAAAGAATTGAGTTACGCGTAGGTATACTCTTTTCTTTTAGCGCGTCAAAATCATGTCATACGAACGTGTCCACGATTAATAACGCTTTTGTTGATTTATTAAGAAAGTTTGGTTAAGGTTGCGCGAACGCATCCCTCAAGTCATTTTAGAGTTAAATTTGGAATTATGTTACGTGAACGCATACGTAATTGCAATATTAATCTAAATCGGGCCTAAAGCAAAAGTACGAGTCTTATGGTTATTTAATATTTATGTTAATACTAATGTGAGGGCCATAACATAAAACTTGTCTAAACTTGTCTAATTAATATGAAGCAGGCTGGCCCAAACGATGAGGCCTGCAACTCCATTTCAAGTGGCCTCATGGCACAGGGCCCAAGGGATGGCCTAAATCTTTGAGAACTAAGGACTGAAGAGGAAAGACTCGAGTACGACTCTGGACGGAGCCAAATCAACTTGGGCATCAAGAGGCCCTGAGCTCCAAATGGTCATTCCAAAGTCCAAACTCAAAGTATTTTACTTGGTTTCAGTAGTGAACAAACAAACCATTAATTACTCGATATGTCCAAATAAATAAAATTTAAGCACCAATCAATTGAATAGTTTAAAAACTATTGTTATAATTCCCATACACTAGCAATTTATTCAATAATCTGCACATTAACATGATTTCCCAAATACGATATACCTATATTGGCATACGCTCATCTCTATCCCATTCCCCCACCTTAAATCATCATTCCAAACGACTTTAAATCAACAGTTAACTTTCAAAATAAAATATTCAGCTACTCCTCATAACATTTGCTTCTACTATAGCTCAATCTATGGACAGTATTCACACAGCAACATGAAGCTTATCACAACCTGAACTTAAACCTCTCTTTTACGACAAACAAATCATGCTTCAGGAACCATTTACAAGAAACTCAAAACCTTATTTCCAAAAGAGGACAGTAAGCACTGAGAAAACCTTCAACTAAATCCTATTAGCTGATTTTCATATGATTCTAAAGCATACATCACAGAAACAAAATCCATTCAACAGAAATGCATCACAGTAATTAAGAGATGGGGAAATGATTAAAAAAACAAAGAAAGAGGATCAGGCTACATAGCTTAAAAGAAATTTTCAAAATAAAGTCCTAAACAAAGGATAAGTTCTGATTGATCTCAACTAAGAAAAACACGTCTTTCGATCAATATTCAGCACTTCATTTCCTAGTTCGAAGTAATACCTGG